GCTCTTGACCAGTCCTCTGGGGTCACTGCTGTCACCTGGGGGTCAGGGGGCCAGGCCCCAACAGCCAGCTTGCACTGCCCACCCAGCTAGCTGTCCAGCTTGGAGCCTTGGACTCTACTCATCATGTGGGGGGTCCAGCTCCCATGGCACAAGCACCGTAAGAGAGCCAAGTGGCCTCATGCCTGTTCTCCATGCTCTACCCTCCACTGCCTGCTGCCCTCTGTGCTGAGTCACTGTGCTGTCCACCCCCTGGGATGGCCCATCAGCCCACTTATTCATGGAGCACCATGTTTCAGCGCCCTGTTTATAGTCACAGAAGAACTTCCCAGTGAGCAGTGAAGCATGGCGCAGCCCAGCACTGCCCTGGGCCAGAACCTCTGCTGCTTGCTACAGAGGCACGCACTCCCCAAAGGCAGCAGTCAGTGCCCTACATCCTTCCTCCAGGTGGGGTGGTGGGGCCTCAGAGTCTGATTAATGGTAGGGCCAAGGAGCAGAGAGTGCCCTGATGGTAAGTGATGAGCTCTTGCATCCATTAGGGGTCAGGAAGTCATTACACAGCCAGGTTGGCTCTCCTTGGTCCCCTCCTCTGGAAGCCTTCCCTAGACCCTGCTGCCCTGCTGTTCAAATTCCAGCATCTAAAATCTTTTATGGAAAAGGAGACTCTGGTTTCTAATTTCCTAGCCTCAGGCACCCTGTTCCAGAATGAGAACATGGATGAAGACAGTGTGGTCCATGGTCCAGACTGGGCTGCGCCCTGCCACAACGTTTCTTCCATCGTCACTGATAGGGAGCCCAGCAGAGCCATGATGAGAACCGAGGAGCAGGACAGCACTGTCTCCCTGGGCTGTGGTCAGACTCAGGCCCTCCCATTGTGGTGGACACGGCGAATCATGAGAGCAAGGTAAACAAGCTTTATGAGCTGGTGGACGACACCACACCAGTGTGGATGGAGGTTTTGCTGGTTCTCAGGGTTAGGGTGAGGGGCGATCCCAGGCAACACCTTACTACCTTATCATTAGGTCTGATAGCTATTTCTGGGTAATGGGCCAAATATTTTGCCAAGCAGGATGTAAAGGGAGTGAGAACCAGGGATTTGTGGTTGCATGCATTAGCCAGAGGTACAGAGAATATACTGGGTCAAAAAGAGTTCACATGTACAGAACAAAATGGAAATCTGGTTACAAAATGGAGCTACATTTGCCATCACACTCCATGGCACCGGCCTCCCAGCTTCACACCTCTGCTGCATGCTGTCGTTACCCTAAAGCCTCAGGGAAAGCATGCAGTGAAGACCAAGGCTGCTTTGTGCTCTCCAAAGAGATGCTCAGCTTGCTGCTCTGCTGCTGGCCTGGGCTCTGGGTGTTGATTTGTTTTATTATTTCATTTGTCTTAAAGTGATGCCCTTTTCAGCTGCACCATTTGGATGGTCCTTTTCAGCACTTCAGGTGAGGAGGAAATGGCAGACACGAGCCCACCCATGTCTACTGCCCGCACCCTGACAGTCGCCCCACCCTGGCCTCCTTCTCCAATTGGGCCTTGGTCAACAGCTGCTGCCCCTGCAACCCTGCACAGAGCTGCTTCACACCAGGATGCCCTGCCTAAAGCTTGCATGGAGGTCAAATGCAGGGGCTGTGTCCAGCACAACAGTGTCCCACCAAACCATCGCATGACCATGGCAGCCTTCATGCACTAGTGAGCTCCTTCCAGTGACAGTCCCTGGTCTTTCTGATGCCTCTACTGTGCCTCCTTCCCAGGATGCCATGGTGCTGATGCACAGAATACAGCTTTTATATTGGCTTTCTGCACCTCATGATGAAACTTAAGTTCCCTCCAAGTCCCCCTGAGTTCGAAGTTCATTTCCTTTTGCACTGAACAAGGCCCCACTGTCTGTATGCGCTTGGTGACCTGCACCCTGACTGAAGGGCATGCTAGCTGCTGGCCATTTTGGGTGAAGCTCTGGACACAAAGATCTACGTGAAAGTAAGTTTAAGGTCCTTTCAGGAAATGACAAGGAACCAGATTGCTGGTTCCTTGCTTAGGGTGAGGATTTGCTTCACGGTTTAGAGCCCATCAAACTCCTTGCACAGCTGCCCCTCCGTTTCCCTCCCCAGCATGGTTGAGTTTCCACTGTTCTACATCCTCTCCAGCAAAGGAAGTATCAGCATCTGGAGTACTGTGGGGGCTCAGCTTCTGTATCCTGGTGATGGTGGGCAATGAAGCGATGGTGTTCCCAGGAGCTCACCTCAGCCTGCTTCCCTGACCTAAGCCTTCTTAGCTGAGGTGTCTGTTAAGGTCTGCACCTCATTGTTTAACTGAGTTTGTTTCCCTCACATTCAGTTTGAAGGGGTCTGTTTTGAGTACTGGGCCTTTGGAAGGTGTGCATTTTGCAAACATTTCCCCCTCTGTGTCTTGTCTCCCAGGTCTCTTGATCTTGTATTCTGAAAAGAAAAAGTTTGTCATTTGATTGTGGCCTCGCTCCTGGGATCTGGCTTTCTGGGACCAGGCCTTCAGGCTGTACCTAAGACATCCGTGCCACCCTCAGCTTGTACAGCTGGCCACCTGTTGCCTTTCTAGGAGCTGCAGAGCTCTGCAGGTCTCATTGGGCCAGGGCCTGATTCTAACCTTGCTGTGTAAAGGGAGTTAAACCTGGGTCTGGACTCCTCTTCCAGTAAATGGACATCTGGCTGTCCCACCCCAGGTGTGGAAAGGCTGTCCCTGCTGTGGAGTGGCCTCTGCTCCTCTGCACAGACCTGCTGACCTGGCTGTGTGGATCAGAGGTTCATTTCTTTCTTCCCCATCTGTCTATTCTCATTGCCCTCTTCTTATGACTTTGCCCCACGTGGATGGAAGGGACATTCCCACCTTGTGCCTGTTCCCATAGGGAAGCTTCTCGTTTGTGCCCAAAGAGAGGGCTGTGCCTGCGGGTGTCTGCAGATGTCCTGCAGGGTAACAATCTTCACTCAGCTCCCATGTAATTTGCCATGAGGTGCTGCTGTGGAAGGTGCTGTGCTTTCTCACATGCTCCTTCTGTGTCTATGGCTATGATCACTTGAGTTTCTTGAGTGGTTGATGTGATGGTTTATGCTGATTTTCAGACATTGAAGTAGCCTTTTACCCCTATGAGAAAGACCACCTGGTTTACAGGGTTATATCATCTGATTCCTCAGATTTTGCTTTCTCGTTCTTAGTAAAATGTCCATATACAATAGATGCTGCCAGGCTGTGCGTGTCCTAGCAGGAAATCGTCCCCATGGAGATGCAGCCGCAAACCTATGGGCACCGAGAGGACTCAGTCAACAGCACGGGCTCTTTAGCAATGAAGCATAGAGGCAGCCCATGATCTGCAGCTCTGGGGCTCATGGCACACCAGGATTGGACACAGGGTCAGACATGACCACTCACGAACCCACAAGACCTCCTGAAAGCATGCAGCCTCCTAGCCGTGGCACCAGGCCCTGCTGTGCTGCTAGCAGGACACAGTCTGGTGATGTCAGCTGTTTTCACCAGCTCCAGGTGTTCAGCATGCTGGAGGAGTGCAGAGTTCTCTGCACGTCACCAGCTGCCTAAGCTTCTGAGCAGATGGCCAACGTGGCTTTGAAGCCATGTGACCAGGCTCTGACTTCTCTCCCCTGTGAGATCCTGGACCATTCATCCTAACGCAGGACCATTTCATCCACACTGGGAATCTGACCTGCAGCACAGGAAACTTGCTGGGGATCTCAGCTGAGGCCTCAGAGTAACTTGCTGCAGCTTCTACCCCAGGCTGCTGGACTCTCATGCCAAAGTCCGACGACTCCTATCCTATGCTGCTGCTGCTTCTTATGGACCCCTCCCCCTGCCCCAGCTGAGTCCACAGTAGATCAGCTGCTGATGGACATCACTCTGCCACTCCCAATGCAGTTTTTCTGAGTGCCGGTTAAGGGCCCAGGGTCCTGACAAAGCCGGCCACCTTCGCCCTAGAGTCACTGTCCCCGGATCACTGTCAAACAGAAAGAATGGGGTTGGAGGAGAAAGGGTACAGCTCTCTGTCCCCAATCCTTTCTCTCCTCCCAGCAGAACCCCCATGCTTCCCTGACCTAGAATGTTGTCAGCTAGCCCCAAATTCCCTTCCTGAAGCTGGGACTCGGCCACCACCATGTGGGGCCTTGGGACTGGAATGGAGACAGTTCCCATGGACACCTGCCCTGCTGGTCACCAACCCCCAGATCCCAAAGATAGTGTACACATTCACACACAGTCAGTATAAAGCACCTCATTAAGGACTGTCCTGTATCATGAAATGACATTTGATATACAGGTTAAATGAACATTTTGTTAACATGATCTCTCCTGTTCCTTTCACTTTCCTGATGTGTCTACTGGAAGTTTACAGATATACTCAGTTGGTGTCCCAGCTTTTTATAAACCCCACAAGGTGTCACCTCCAGACTCAGCCACCTCTGCCATCTCTGACCTGGACACCTGGCTGGGAGTAGTACTTGGTACTGATTGACTGATTCCAAGTCCTTAAGGAGAACCCCTGTCCTTTCCCAAGTAAAGAGGAGCCACTCCTCCTTGACAGAGCTGGGACAGGGCAGGACCTGGGCTTCCTGGAACCTCTGGAGTCACTTTACTCCTCCTGGGAGTCCTCACCCTTGACCCTGATGCCCCTGACCTCAGAGCCCCCTGGAAAGCCAAGATTGCTCTGTCTCCTTCCTGTAGAAATAGAGTCCTGAGTCACAGGATTTAGGGACCAGAGAATTGTGGAGAACACGGAGACCTGAGCCTGGGGAGCTCAGGAGGGGCACAAGCGAAGAGGTCAGGAAAGCAGGAGTCAGGAGGACAGAGGAGGAGGAGGGAAGAGGCCCCAGCCTGGAGGAGAGAGGGACAGAGGAGAGATGGCCAGCACTGGAGAGGACAGCAGGAAGTGGGGCACCAGGAAAGGAGGGGCTGGGCTTGGAGGCAGGGAGGGTGGGACGGGATGGGTGGAGTCTCACAGTATATATCAAGGGCTGCCCTGGCAGGCACCATGGCCTCTGAATTGCTGCCCTCTGTGTTGTGCAGCTCCAGCGTGGTGTCCTGCAGTCATGGCCTCATCCCTGCATGTACCTGTGCTGCTCCTGGCTGCCCTGGCCATGACCCCCACAGCCTTAAAGTCCTACCTAGCTGGCGGCCTGCAAGATACAGACAGTAACGCTGAAGATGTGCAGCAGGCAGTGGAATTCGCCCTCCAGGAGTACAACAGTAACAACAGTGACCCATACCTCAGCCGCTTGGTGCGGGTGGTGCGTGCCCGTCAGCAGGTGAGTGTCCATGGGGGCTGAGGAGTGTTGTTTGGGGGGTGCTGCCCTCCTGCTCACCTGCTGCTCCCCTCTCTGTCTCTGGCCTGTCCCCACCCCAGGTGCTCTGCCTGCTCTGCTACCCTGGCCAGGTCAAAAGAGCCCCACAGAGATGGACTCCCTATGCCTCTCACCCAAGCCCAGTCCCTAGTGTTGCTCTGTCCCCTCAGTTTGCACTGAGTCTCTGAGTTACTGGATTGGGTCCTGGCAGATACAGCTGGTGACATCTGTGCCTAGACCAGGTTCCAGCCCTAGATGACAGAGGCACCAGGTGCCAGGCCAGGGTCAGGGTCTCCTGCTAATGCTGACAAACACCTTCTGGACTGGGATGGGTATGAACTGTGAACCAAGTGACCACACAGCAAGGACAGGGACCCTACACCTGTTTCCTCCTCTCCTGACCTCTACTCCTTGTCCTTCAGTTCCCAGCTCTGTCAGGACCTCAGATCTGCAGAGGAGGTACAGCAGGAACATAGGGTGTCTTGGGCACTGTGCCCATCACTCCCGGGGTGGCCATTCCCTGTGTGGGCCCTCCTCTCCACATAGTGTGGGGAGCTGTGTGTGGAGTGCATGGGTTCTCCTGGGTCTTAGAATGCACACTGCAGTGGACACTGCTCACTCTCAAGGACCTGTCATCTGCGCCCAGGATCCAGCTGACCTCACCAAGCCACACTCACACACTGTCACCAGCATAGCCTCACACAATGTGGTCGCTGTCCATTGAGGACACTCCCACAGGCCCTGCAGCCCATACTGACTCAGCCTTCTATCTGCTGGAGCGGCTGCTCTGTGCTCATTACCTCGGCCTGTCAGGGTCTACCCAGCTGGGCAAACAGTCCTGATCCATAAAGCATGTTCCAGGGAAAGATGAGATCATATTGTGTAGTGAACTCTTGAAGGCCATAACACAGTCCAGGGGGGCTCCACACTGAGCCCCAAGGGTCCTTTGGGCTGTTAGGTGCACCCTGCTGCTGAGCCAGGGAAGAGGACCCCCAGCTTCCTGGTCCTCCTGTGGGGGACCAGGTCTCTGAGGGACCAGCTCTGCTTGGTCCTCAGGTTGCAGCTCCCCTGGAATAGTGTCCAATGTGCCCTGTTGGGCACAAAGCCTGCTGGAGCTGGAGCCACCCCGCCTCCTAGACAGGAAGTGCCGGTTCAGTGCCTTGGCCCTTCCTTGAGTCGGCCTCCCTTCGTAAGGCCCAGATCAGAGGGTCCGGCCCTGGGTCCTACCTGCCCACTCTGCTTCTGTCTTGTTTAGGTGCATGAGACCCCTCTTTGTAACTCCTTGGAAGGGAGTGAGGTGAACACAGAGCAGGACTGATTGGCAGGAAGATGGGAGCAGTGTAGGCTGGGGTGGGTTTGGCCTGAGCCCTGGTGAGCACAGTGGGTCCAGTGCAGCTGGTAACTGCACGGTGAGGTGGACAGAGCACTGAGAGAGTCCCAACTTTCTACACTAGGTGGTGGCTGGCATAAACTATTATTTGGACTTGGAGATCGGCAGGACCACATGTGCAAAGGACAAGTCCACCCAGGATGACTGTTCCTTCAGTGGGGAGTCGGTATGAGCTTGAAGTAGGCAGAAACAGCATACACAGGAGGAGATTGTGTGTGTGGTGTGGTGGTCAGGAGTAGATACCCTCAGGGGTAGGATGCATGTAATGTGTGTACCTGCACATCTGTTCACCTGTGGGGTACCAGAGCTGAGCTGTGCACACAGGACTAATTGTAGTGCTGCGTGGGACCCTGGAAGGTGGGGTGCTAGGAGGAGATCCTTGCCTTTGGGGTGCTCCTGCTGGGTGGGCAGGGCTGGTGAGGAGGGAGAGGGTACTGCAGAGTCCCCGCCTCACTCTGCCCAGAGCCAGGCTGACCAGGTCAGGCCTGAGAGGAATGAGACCTCATGCTGCCCTCAGCCTCCAGACTTTCCTGACAGCCGGCTCCCTGGAGGCCACACTCTGGGTGTTGAGTCCCTGTTACCCTGCCCACCCCACCTATCTCAGGGTCTCCAGGCCTGGTTCATCCCTTGTGCCTCTCAGGGCTGCCCTGGGCTGAGGTGAACGTGCTGGGGTGGTGAGCCCCTGCCCTCCCCAACACCCACTGGGCTCCTGGCCCTGCCTGGCTGCTCCCTGCAGGTCATGGGGGTTGGGGACTTGGGATCCCTGAGCTGGGGACAGGGCTATGCAGAGACAGCCCCTCAGCCACTCCTCCTCTCTGGTGTTCATGGCCAGGCCCCCTTCCTCTCTCCTGAAGCTGCATTCACCCTCCCTCTCTCTTCTTTCAACAGACACAGCTCTGCTCCTTCGTGGTCTACTTCAGGCCCTGGGAGGACTACAAGGACCTGACAAGCTCCAGCTGTCACAGTGCCTGAGGTTGTGCTTTGGCCAGGCCACAACAACCACCCCTCATCAGAGTTTCCTGCCTGTCCCCAACTCTGCAATGGAGCCCAGCCCTGGTGCAGTCTCTTTGGTGCCTCAGCACCCGGGCTCCAGGGCAGCAGGGACACTCACGCGCTGTCCCTTCTTCCCTTTTCCTGTGCTTCTCAATTGCACCTTGGGGACATATCTGGCCACCCTGCCTTGCTCAATAAAAACTTGCACCAGCTCCCTTTGTGGCATAGTCTCAAGGGTTGGGGACGCTGTCCTCACAACTCGGTGCTGTGTGACTGTCACAGGGTCCTTCTGGGCACTGTCACTCACCTGAGGTGAGGTCAAGTGAGGGTCACTGAGGCCCTGCATTCTGTCACCATCACCATTTCCTGTGGGGTCCTCCCTCCTTCCAACTCCCTCCATCTGCCTGCAGGGCCCTGGCTGTGACCTGGGGACCAGGCTTGGAGAAAGTGACTCACTTAGCCAGCCAGTGTACCCATTGTACTCCAGCCTCAGTGACCATCTGAGCAGGGACACTGGCCCAGGTCTGCCTCAGCTACCAGTGGCTCATGGCAGGGTTTTATTTGACTGAAGGCTGAGAGTCCCTAATGCAAAGATCTTGAGACCAGAGTACTCCAGGTCTCAGAGATCTATGGGATTGTGGGAAATCTTCACATACATGATGAGATTTCCTGGGGATGGGACCCATGTGTGAATACCTTGTTCACATAGCCTGACATGATTGCTACAGTATGATTTACTGCAAAAGAAAGCTTGAATTGGAAAGTTAGAGGGAAGACAGCAAAGGGTACAGCTTAAGTGGCTGGAGGGATCACTGTGAAATGGGGTTCAGGCTGACTCTATACAGGCAGGGGATCGCTGTCAAGCTGGTGGGCTGGATCTCGGTGGTCAGTGTCTTATCATCTCAGTCATAGTTCTGGGATCTCAAGGGCTGAAGATGGTTTCTTTCTCAGAAGAGGATTCTGAGTCCCTGGAGTCTTAGACATCTGGGGCTCGCCCTTCCTTAGAACCCAGATGATCAGAGGTGCAGGATAAAATACAAATCACACAGGAGGACTGGAAAAAGTACACTGCTTTGTAGAACATCCTGGTGAGTCCCCAGCATGGTAAACAGTGTTACCATGGGCCCCCAAAACGCTGCCCATCCTAGATGAATGAAAACATTGTTCCACCAAAAAGCTTGTAAATGAATGTTCATACCAGGAAAACCCAAAACAAGGAAAGGAAAAGAAACCATCTAAATAGTCATCCATTCATGACTGAATAAGCAATACAATGCAATATTATTTGGCAATTATTTAAAGCTGACACACTGACACTGGTATAAGTTGGACAAATCTCAAAATCTCAAAAATATGCCATGTATGAGGTAAATCAGAAACAGAAGAGTTCAGTGTCTCATCTCATTCTCTTGAAACGTCCAGGAAGGCAAACTTTGGGGCAAACAGGAAGGTTAGGTGGTGGATTATTTGTTCCCAGACTGGCTCAGCAGGTGGGGAGTGATTGCTGATTCCTTTGTACCATGAAAATGGTCTAGGGGCTGAGGATTTAGCTCAGTGGTGTAAGTGCCTGCCTGGCAAGCACCAGGTTATAAGTTCAACCCCTAATACCAAAAAAAGAAAAGAAAATGGCCTAAATGAGATTGTAGAGATACTTGCATGATATTGTGAGTATGCTAAGAACCTCTGTGTTATAAATCTTAAATGGAAACTTTGTCTGATGTGGATGTTTTTTCTCCAAAAATCTGTTAAAAAATGATCACTGAATCTACAGTTTTTGCCCAAGAAATTTTTACCTTCTCTTTTCTTTTCTATCACTAATAATTTCCAGTCATGTTTCCAAAGTTATAAAGTTATAAAGTTCCAGTCATGTCAACAAAGTTATAAAAGCAACTTACTCTAATTTCTACCAGTTGCATAATTGCCCCAAATTTGATCAGATATTTACTACCCAGCCACTGCTATCTTATTTTCAGGAATAACTAAAGTGCTTGAGAAACTCTCATTGAAATCACAAGTACTGAGGAATTTAAATTCAGAGAAATCACGCTCCCAAGTAAAATTCTCAGTTTGCAAACTATTCTTGCTCTATCCCTACCCTTACTGGACTCTGAGTAGGGTCTATGTAACACTGCTGAACAACACATGGTCTTTGTAGTTATGGTCTTGCATTATTAGGGAAATATTCATTATATTCAGTACACTTCAGTCAAGTAAGGGTGTTACACGTATCCAAAAGTTTCTCATTTAGCAGCCTGAAGCATAGTTTGGGCTTTAAAGTAAGTTCATATCATCTAGAATGTTTAGATCACATGCTTCAAATGCATCTTAAATAAAAGAGCTGAACTGATGATATCTGGTCTCCACTGTCTCAGTACAAGTCCTGGAGGACAGATTTGCTAACAGTTGATTGACTTTGGGTGGAGAAATACAACTGGAGAGATGATGCAGGAGAGAGGTAGTGCTGTTGGAGAACAAACTATGAGCTGGGGCCATGTCTCAGATCTCCTGAGGTCATTTGGGATCAGGTCCCAGATCTCCTGAGGTCATACAGGATTGTGTCTCCCATCTCCTGAGGTCATACAGGACCATGTCCTAGATCGCCTGAGGTCATAAAAGATCATGTCTTGGTCTCCTGAGATTATACAGGATCATGTCCCAGATCTCCTGCAGGACATACAGTGATCATGTCACTTGTGACAGATCTTCCTCTTAACTTCTGCTCCTGTGAGCCAGGCTGTACACAGGAGGAACACTGATGACTGAAAGCTGAGTCAAAGCTACCTTTGTACTTTGAAGTCAGAGTCACGTTTCCTGCTGGGTTTCAAGTAATTCAGGTTTCCTAAAGATGAACTGCAAGTCCAGTGTCTGCCTCTTTCCAGAAAGCAGGGAACAATTTGGAGGAGTACACCAGCAGAGGTCACAGGGCCCAGTCTGTGCCCAGCAGGTCCAGGTTTTCAGAGCTTCTATTGACCAGAGATGGCCCTACATGGGTATGGGGAAGCTGCTCAGGTCCTGACATCATGGTCAGAAACCTGGGGGTGTAGAGGGGTCTTTGCATGCTGATCTTCAGTTTGAAAATTCTAGTATTTCTAGACTGTTACAATCTCAAATGTATGTGTGTCTGTGTATACTTACATGCCATCTGTTTTGGGACGTGAAGGAATAGATGATGAATATCATATGAAGACATTTTAAGCATTCAACTTGACAACTAAAAAGTCTTCTAGCAATAATAATAATTTCAATCATGTGAAAAATTTAAAAATCGTTTAATTGTTTAACATGGTATAGTACAGAAATTTGAGTGTTTTACATTGGTTGATTTTACCACTTATTTTCAAAAGCTTTCAAGCAAAACGAGTCCTCAAAAATGTGAAATGTGTCTTATGAAACATTATTTATTTTTTCAGACCAACCATCAGTTCTTCAAAAATGCTTATTTGGCTGTAAATTTCCATCTTCCTCATTGTTTTTAAGGAATGAATTTGTAACCCACATAATCTTGCGTTTGGAAGATGATTTTGAAAATCCAAATAGCCACATTTCCAGCCTTCTCACAATAAAATCACATGACAATAAAATATTTTCAAAAATGGCTGTGACTTCTTTGAAAAACAGCTTTTTCCTCACTGCTTGTCAAAACAGTGCTCGCCTTGCAGGGATGGGTCCGAGGTTCCCGTTCTGCAGGCCAAGCTGCCTAGATCCAGCCTTCCATGAGGTGGGCAGTGCTTTTCTCCTTGAGAACCGAAGCTCATATGCCATCTCCAGGGCCAGGCCCCCCAGTGGGCCTGCCCTGACCTCATCTCCCACACCTCTGTGCCTCCTCTGTCTGTTCATGCTAGAAAAAGCAGGTTTGAATGCATGAGAGACTGTGGTTTTGAGTTGGACCTGGCTGGACATGTAGGGTGCAGCAACTGCAATGACAGGAAAACCATCCCAGCCTTTCAGTTTTGGTCATGTAAAGTGAAAGGCATCCAACACAGCATTTGTGAAGGCAGAAATTAGAAGTCAAGCAATTTCCATCTACAGATCCAAGCCATCCACCTGTGAGTTACAGTCTGCCCCTCGCTCCAACCAACCTCTGATCAAAAATATATTTTAAAAATTGCACCTGTAGTATATACATATGGGCATTTTTTCTCATTATTGTCAAAATAATACAGTATAACAACTATCTGCATAGCATTTTATTGGGTACTGTAAGTCATCTGAAGGTGATTCAGAGTATATATGATGTGGTGCCTACTAGATGGCTATTAGCTGACTAATAGATGGCAAATTGAGCCATTTCACAGAGGCACCAGAGCGTCCTAGACGTCAGTGCCCATGAGTCCTGGAAGCAGACCCTGTGGAAACCACAGGCCGGGTGCCCCACTTACGGATTCCGAGTTTCATCTGTCTCCCTCCAGACCTGGCCTTTGGGTCTCTGCCCTGTGTCAGCTGTCTGAGCTACTCCGAGGCCTTTCCTTCCTGTCTGCTTCCCATGCCTGGTTTGTGGTGTCAACAACTCAGTGAACAGAGCAGAAATGTGCCCCGCAGGACACTGACCTGGGAGTCAACTAAAGCCTGTCTGATCAGTGCCTTATGGGGGTGCTCTGGAGCACTGTCCCAGGTTTAGGAAGCTAACGCTGTGTGCACATCAAGGTGCTGCTCCGCATGGAAGATCTAAGTTTTGGGTATGCCCTGTGCTGTCCACACCAACCAGGTAGCTTCAGACCCTCTTCTGTGACCTCCACCAAAGGCAGGTGCAGCGCCTGGTACAAGAGCAAAGGTCCTGAGAGCAGCCACACTTCCCCCTCCAGGAGCTGAAGAAGTCAGTACCGTCTCCAAGTGTCTGGGGTGAGAGGCACTGCACATTCGTCACTCTAGTGACCAGGCTGTCGGGAGAAGGGATAAGTGGATGTGCCTGGGGCCACTGCAGATCTTACAGCCCCAACCAAGATGACATATGGAAGAGAAGTATCCAAGGTCCCCAGGAGAGATCAGGCCTGAGGGATCCAGGGAGAAAGAGGCTGAGGGGCAGACAAATTTCAGGCGTACTGACCAGGACCTCAGCTCCCATCCTTCATGCCCTCCTCCCCTCTCTGCCTCTTCCCTCCCCTTCTTCTGCCTCTGCCTGCCTCCCCCAGGTCTCTGCCTTCTGTTCTTGGCCTCTGGGGGCTGAAGTAGGGCCTCTGGCTTCCCTGGGCCTCCATATGAGCACTGGCTCCTC